GGGCTGCGGCATCATCGCCACTCTGGAAGCCCTGAAGCCGTTCAGTTCAGTCACAGCGAAGAAACGAGTAGAAAGCACAGTACAGGGTGAAAATCTCTCGATCAAGATGACATGACACATCAGTTCAGGCGAGAGAGAGAGAGAGCAATTCAGTTTGAAAAGGATCGCGAACGAAGCAGTGGTTGAATTTGACCAAGGGGCAGAGTGGTCGTTCAATTTTAACGGTATAACGAAAAAAGAATAAACCGAAGGGCCTTTGGGTACTGCCGGCTAAGGAGAGGGGGCGTCAGGAATCTTTCAGGCTCCTCGCGTATAGGCAAATGCCTACAGGCCTAATCAAAACCTCGTACCTGGAAAAAGCGATTTTTACTTGCTTTTCTTACAAGGAGGAATCGGTAGTCGCGTGCGAGTGCAGCGGAGATAGACGAATAAAGTAGTTTGTTGTATCGTTCAACCGCTGTATGTGTGGGAGAGGAGATTTCCAGTCAAAATGCCAGGCTCACCCCCTCACGACACACTCCAGCATGATTTCAGCCTCCACGTCGCTGAGAGCCCCGTTTCCGTCAAAGTCGAACAGGGCGAATATTTTTTCCAGCTGAAAAAATCAAACACGCAAGATAGCACTTTGACCACGACGACCACGTCTACACGCATGTGCAGATCGAAGCATGCAAGCGAACGAGTTTGAGAAGCGAGTCCATGACAGCCTTCAGGAGGCACGTGTAGCGACAACAACCAGGAGGAACAAAAGTTGTACTTGCATATTTATCTCTTCGAACTCTTCCCGAATCGGGCGATGTCACACAACACACCATCCACGCGCAAATTTAAAACACTGGTTGTGAGTTGTCAGATATACGTGCTAGGCCGTGTGATGCTTCTGTCATTGAATTTCCACGGGTAGAACTTGACGATCATTTGGATGGAGCCGAGAGCAGACCGGAATGAACAGCTAGATCAGAGAAGCTGGGGGAAGACATGGAATGCATACATGATCTTTCGCTCTCTGCATGGATGGATTGGCTATTCTCCCTTCGCGATCCTCTTTTCTCAATATGTACCAGTCACAGCAGTGCCTGGTTCGTGATACAATTTATTGTTGGTCGGTAGAAACCCACCGCAGGCGGTACATACAATTGTATCTCAACCCCGCGCAACGCCGCGGTAGAAAATCTGGCGTGTTGTTATTACTAGCATGTTCGTGCTACAACGGTTATCATCATGTTTTCTTCCCTTTGCCTTCAACAGCAGTCCACCTGATGTCCCCTTCTTTGCCCTTCTCCTTTCTTAGATCCTCGCGGGAATTTCATGCGCCCTTTACCCGTTCGTGAACCACTGCTGTGGTAGCGGATCGAAATACGATTGGTCGAACGTGGCATGTCTGATGCACTTCCGCGCCTGTTCACTTCGACTCATTCCAACCAAAGTGTTCTGTACAGCCCGCACGAATACAGGAGGATTGAGAGGTTCGACAAAACTCACCTTGGCGTCGAGGCCCTTCGGCGTCCCAGCGGCGAACAGGAAAGCCGACGCGAACACCTCGGACACATCAACCTTTAGAGTGGGTTGTTGGGGGTGCACCACGAGGCGAAATGCCGGCAACATTATGCAGGGCATGTCAGACCACACCCACCCATATGATGGCTGTGACAGTTGATGTACCTTCGAAGAAACCACCTTGCTGCCTCGTGTCAAAACTGCACAGGAAGCAGGACCTGTCGGGCTTGAAGAAGAACGTACCTGGGCGCAACTCTAATATGTGCGTGTGGGGGGGGAGGTAAGATGATACAATCGATATTCTGTGTCATCAACAGTCCGTGCACAACCCACAGAGCTGTGAAAAACATCGAGTTGGTCTACTAGTTTCGTGTTTCTTGTTTAGACACGGACAGGAAGAGAGTCTGGAGGTCGACCATCGTCAGAGATGTGCCCTTGCTCTTCCCAGAACGACGACGCTGCTGCTGCTACTGCTGCTAGTCGGCGTCGACCACAATGGTGACACGTCAGATTGCTACGATACACGAAAAGGGCGCAATAGCTCCGCAAGCTTCTGTCCAGCTCGCACGCTACATTGTATGCATACGATGTATGAGATACGTTGGTCATCAGTGCCACGTGCCTATCGTGTTTTCGAACACTATGTCCGACAGATGGCGCGTAGTGAAGCGCTAATTTAATGCCACAAGAATCAAACAAAGAAACAAACTATGTTGTGGATCTCACCAAACCCTTGCCCCGGTTGTCGAAGACAGAAAACAGTTCCGTCGGATTCGTCAAGATGCCTTCGAACACCTGAACGCAGCAAAGACCGATGTTGATCAGGTATTTTGAAATTTCGTCACGGCGGTACATGAGCTTTGGTAAACTAACACGTGTCGGTGACCACAATTTTTTTTATGTACTTTCAGTCTTCTTGGGATTATGTGTTGTGCTCGACGGTGCAGGGCAGGAGGGCGGGCGTGACACGATAGACACCAAAGGCGGTCCGGGAATGGAAATCATTAACCACGCAGCAACCGTCTGACCCTGTACATGTTTGTCAAATGACTCTTGTCTGCGGTGGCCATTTTCCGTTCGCGATGTGAATACAGGTTGTAAAACGACAGCACCATCGTCAACAACTATTTGTCCAATGTTTTACGTTGTCTACCAGCTGCCGTAGTCGTTTATTGGAAGATATCCCAACGCAACGTATGTGTGTCAAACTCAAACTGCAACGAAGAGCACCCGGAATACTCAACAAGTGCAGACACCTTGCAACATGTACTGGGTGTTGTACGTGTGCCATGGCGCCGAGCACGAAACGTCGTTCCTACATTGTCACCTGTCGGAACTCCTCGGAGTTTATGGCCATTTTATAACGGCCGAAGTCCCTATCTCGACGGAGTAGGCACTCGGAAACATCTTCCAGTGAAGCTTTCTGCTATATTTTGGGAGCATTGGACCGGATCGAGCGGTCGGACGGTGCCGAGAGAGAAGAGCACGATACACGCAACAGGGACGGAGCAGCTGTTTAGATGAAAAGCGGCCTTTTCGTGGTGATACAAATGGATTTACATGTAGACCCAGACTGCTGGACCCTAATAAACCCTCATGATCCTTTTTTCATCGCCCAAAACACGCACGCACTCTTATCCACGTCAATCAAGTGCACAGCAAGCGCGGAATACGCAGACAACAGCGGCACTACGTATGTTACTGGTCTTGTAGACGGCAACTGTCTGGCGTCTGGAGTGCTACATGTATTGTATGTGCATGCGATCCGGGATTGGTTGTAGACTGTAGACTATTTATCCAATGTACAACGGCGAATTGAGTGTATCATGAACGTGACAGAGGGTTTCTGGAGCAAGCGAGTCGCGTATCTCGCAGTTTAACAAGGAACGTGACACCATATACATAATAGTAGTGTAGCAGCCCCGGGGGACATGCTAAAAAGTGGTATTTCAAGTCTTACAGGAATTTCTACCGACAGGTGTTAGACTATGCGACCAGAGTGCTCGTCGAAGGCCCAGCGGAGGAAAAAACAACTGACTGTAGGGCCGTAGACTACTACTGGTACGATGTCTATGCATACAATCCATGCGCCCGCATACAGCAGTAGACACATCGAAGTAAAGACTAGCAGTCAGGTAGGTTTGTGAAGAGGCATTCAGGGCACACAGCTGTGGTAGGGAAAGCGCGCTTCGCACGACCACCTACCTACCCACCTGGAAATCCTCTGCGTAGGGAGAGTCGATGTTGATTCGCACCTTCCGCCCTCCGTGCGACTGCTGCGCAGCCGCCGTACGAGAAACTTCGTTGCCCATTTCGTTCGGCGGTATCCGCTACAACTACAGAGTCACAGCAGACGCCGCCGTACAGTAGTCATATGGCAACGACGAAAAACTATGCTTCCCAACTGCATGTACGTACTTCTATACAATAGACAAACGCATGCTTCAGTTCCATGTGGATAGGGAAGCGCTTCGTTTGTTTGGACCTGCCTGACACGACACAAACGAATGTTTTACTGAAGTACTTTTGAAGGTGTCGCCTTGCCGCTCACGACGACGACAAAGCCATGTTCTTTTTACATGCCACGGCCCACCGTGCAGCGCCCAACAACGAACGACCAAACCCACCAGTCGCTAAAGCGACACGGGTGTTCTTTCTACCCGCCGGTCGTGTGACTCCACCGTCTTCGATGCTCTCAAAAATTGTCAGAGCACACCACGAGGCAACCACAGAAATTTCCAGTTTTCTCGGATTGAGAATATGCGGAGAGACCGTCATGACGCACGACGCACGAATCAAGCTACGGAACCCCCGCGTTTAGAGAACACGTCTGTCTGCTCAGCACCACTACATTCGTTTCACGCGCACGACACAAGACGTGTGAGAAGAGGTCGGAAAGCACCCCACGAGAGAAAGGCAGGTAAGAGGAACTTGGCCACGCAAGCCCAGCAGAAGAAGAGTGTGCGTGGCCTGCGCTGGCGGGTAATATCCAGCACTCTTGGTCTCAGAGACACCGCGAAGAGAGAGAGGTTTTCCTCTGGACCCGCTGTACTGAGAAGTACTGCTGTAGTCCTGTAGATGCCAACGAGTGTGTTGTGCGGAGACATTGGCTACCGTTGAGCCTTTTATCGAGAGGGTTAAGTGCGAATGTAGCAGGGTGTATGCGTAGGCGGGACAGCAGTAGGAATGCCCATGCTTATCCTTCGGTGGGTAGATGAAGCACTGCAGCTGCTGCCGCCGTACTTTTTTTTCTGCGCGAGAGAGCAGAGAGAGAGAGAGAGAGAGAGAGATTTGAGAGAGATGGAGAGCAGCATTGTTCCGTTTTATGGTACGGAGGGGTCGCCAGTGGGCAGGTTGAGTGATGCCGCCGGCCTTGACGCTGACTCGTGACCCGCGCTCCCCTCGCCCGTACTCAGCAGTGATACGGCTCTCTCAAGAAGCAGCCACGACCTGGTCTCTGCGCTCGCAAGCACACACGCACACGAGAGCTTTTTGCAGCAAATTGCGGGAAGGGGAAAGCTGCGAGACAGATCGCTAACGCGAACTACGAGTGTGTGCCGAGACACCCCGAGGCTCGCGTTAACTGCTGGGGGTGGGGGGATTAGGGGGGCATGCCAAGTCGAGGGGGCTTCACTAGCCGCCGCTCGGGCGACATGATGGAGGGAGGGAATGCGCAGGGAGGTGGCATGTTTGGCAGCAAGGGAGGTGAGAGAGACACACCAGGATGAAGAGAGAATCCAGGAGGTTGTTTTCTCTCTGCTGTCTCCCACAGCCGATTGTCTCCCCACAGCCGATTAATTTTTATTTTTTGTCCAACGGGAAAAATCAACCCACAGAACCAAATTCGACAACGACAACAAACCCCTCTGGTTGTTTCGTTTCCACCCTGTGTGTTTTTTAGAGACGGCTCCCGTCTCTTGCTGCGTGATGAGAGAGCTGCTTGGCAAAACCTGCCCGGGGTAGTGAGCATCACACAGCACCCCGTACAAATCGGTTATGGTATTTCCGCAATCGGAAGGTTTAAGGTTGCTCCATGTTCTCTCTGAAACAGGTCGCTTTTTTTTACCGTCCCCGCTCTGTATGCAAAGCCGACCGGGCCCAGAAAATTATTTGTTTTTGTTATCTATCGTTGTGGCGGCCACACACCCCCGGCTTCCATGCCATCATCGTACCACCCAGTTGGTTGTCTAACTTGCATCGTACACGCGTAGTCAAGTCTACCGATGAGGAGCGACTGCTGAAGGCTGTTTGTCCTTCGCCTCGCTTTTTATTTAGCTACACCGTGTCGTGGGCAACGGTTTTTTTTCTTTTCGGGGTGAGGAGAATTTCGGAATTCAAGCGAACAGCCAAGACTCTCGACTGGAAAATATTTGCATCAAGTGTGCAGCGTCGCACACCCCACTGCAACATACCTCGCCGTGAGTTTATTGCCGGCTGATCAGTTACGTAATGTTCCGAACGAAGAAAAAATAAACATTTACGTCTTGTACATACCATTGTCTATTACCCTGGTATTCAGCTCCCACTTATATAGTGCGTAGGCGTGCATGCTCCGATGGTCATGGCGCCTCTCACAATCAATGCGCGGCGTGGTTCACGACAGCAGTTTGGTTTCGACGATAAATAATATTGAATTGAGTGTTCTCAGGTGTTCGGAACCAGTAGCCGCGACTGCGTACGCTGGTAGCGGGGCGCACACCCTCATCGGAGTGATGCGTATCTCCAGTCTTCGCTGCCGCCGGTGGACAAAGAGCCTGGAAATTTACTGCTCTGTAGACCAGCCCACACATGATCCCGACATGCCGACCCCGCAGCAGTCGCAAAAAAAACTGCACGAAATCAGGGTGATCACCCCCCACCCCGTGCCGTAATCCTGGGGGACAGATAGCAGATGGATCTCTCACACAAGGTCTGGTCTTTCTGTTCATTTGAGGAAATAGCGAGCTGGCAAGTGGTGCACAAGAATGCACCACGAGACGGGACCGGACTGGGAAGTTTACATATTGTAATTGTTTGTAGGGAGGCCCGTTGACGGGAAACGATTCTGGGTGGACAGAGAACATTCCCGTGTACATACAACGCGCATGTACGCACGCACACACCCCGTCCATGCCTACTACTCAATGATACCACACCACACACAGACATCCGGTTCGAGACAGAGCTTTGCGATAGGAGTCTTCTCTATGGCAACCGGTGTCCTTCGAGCGAGGTACTTTCCTCTCAAGCTTCGTCACGAATCACGTATTCGCTTGAAAAACCAGCAATATTTGACATACATATATTGCGGCATGCTTGTGTGAGAGCTGGCGTCGGCGACGACGGTGTGCAAGGCATCACGATCGTGTTTGTTGTTGATCCACACCAGCAGCAGTTTTGTTGCCTGCAAAGTGGGCGTGTGCGTGAACGAGGTTTGTTTCTGGTCGAGCGACTCGGAATTAAATGCGCCTTTCCGAACGGCGTGTGTACGTGGACACCAGCTCTATGTTATTGGCATCTCCCCCCCCTACCGAGAGGAGGATTAGGATTCGCCGCCGTATGCCGTATGCAGGTAATAGTTTACTACGGCAGCCAAGGTTCGACTACGCCAAGACCGAGGAGAATCACCGCCTTGCAGTAATTTTTACCGGTTCGCTCAACGAGGCGAAGTATGATGTACCACACGATTGCATGATTGCCTAGACAAATACCCGCCCGCCTGGTTATCTCGGCTATGGTGCCTCCGGGCACCACTCTCCCCATGCCGCGCACTACTTGGAATAATTTTTCTTCCGATTAGAACTCGTGGTAGCATAGTTGCGCTGCGGACAACGGCCAGGCAGGCGCCGTCTCCACCGCAGCCCAGCCAACTATGTAGGGATACATCATGGTTTTGTGTATATTGGATTTCAAACGTTTGTACTCTCTGTTGTGCAGCCCGACCCCCATGCAGCGGCACACATGCATATGCATACCGCCAGTTGCTGCTGTGGCACATCGACATTCGTCTATTGTAGCATTTGGCATGAACCCGCAACAGAACGCGAAGGCTTGGGTAAAGCATATTTCCTCCTACATATACAAGTAGGGAACATCTGCCATGCATACCACAATTTAGCATGAAAAGAAAGATTATCCGCCTTTGTACTTCAGCGACAATACCCCGTGGAACGAGGCACGTATGTTTGAGAGGCTTTTCAGTGGGCATTGAGGAACAAACACCTTCCTCTCGACGCGGTCGCGAAAGACGACAAGTCGAGGATCTAGTCCTTCGCCCTTCCGCCGTTCACGCCGGTCGACAGACCAGGGTGTCATGCATACGCATACGTACTACTTTAATTTTTTGTAGTATATTTTTATTAGATTATTTCCCCTCCGACACCTAAATTTTGTATGCCGCCTCCTGGTGCCTCGAGTGGTATCAATGCTTACGACGGATGACCTGTAAAGGACCCCGAGACTGGGAGGGACGGCGTCCCATCCGTCGGCGAACGAACGAGGTTACGTACATGGTGCTAGGCGCCCTCCCGCTCTATGCACGTGTATCTCCTGTTTTTTCTGCTCCTCTGTCTTGTGGACCCCACCGGCGTCGGCCCAGGCGGCGTTAGCGTTACGACGTTGTCTGTTGCTGCCCCGCGATACAACCTCACTTACAACGGTTGTTGTTTGCGTTCTCTCTCTCTCTCTCTTTCTCTTTCAAGGGCCTGGTTCGAAGCGGCAAAGACTGGCGTTCTGGCAGCTGGCGCTCGCGGCGTCGGCGTTGATCCTCTTGGGATTGAATGTCGGCGCCGTGCTGAACTCCAACTTTCCTTCGACGCCGGATAAGGCTGCGGAGGTGCGTACGCTAGTAGCAACAGCAGCAGGTGCCGGTGTTGTTCCTTGCGTTTCTTTCACCGTTGCGTGCACACGAGCCAATGGAGACGGCATAATGTCGGGTCTCACGGGGGACGAGACGCTACTGGAACGCCTGTTGTTTGTGCGTCTCCATTGACCTCTCCCTGCTCAAGATTTTGTTTTGCACCATATGCAATGTTCAGCTTTTCCCCCAAGAGTTTCTTGACGCACAACCTGTCGTTGATACCACATCGACAACAACTGCTGCAAATGCAGCGACCATCGTTCGGCGAGGTCCCTCACAAGATGGGGGATGTCGGTGGCGCCGACGGAGGGGGCGGCGGCGGCGGAGGCGCGGTCGGGGGGGGCGGGGGCGAGGGCGAGGGCGAGGGATCGCCGGCAGCGGGGGAGGGGGCGGTGACGACGGGGGCTAGGCAAGACTCCGGCGATGACGGGTCGCTACAAGACCCCGATGGGCTCTGGGGGAAGGACGAAGAGCAGAAGAAAGAGCACCACGAGGGGCAGGTACTCGTGTGTGTGTGTTGCTGTGCGGCGGTGGTGTACCTTTCTTTGGAGCGTGTCCAGCAGTCCAGCAGAAGAAGCGACACCCCAAGGGACCGGTGTATCCTTGCGGGGGTACCTGTGTACGCGTGTCTTTGATGCACGTTTGTTTGGTACGCTGGTGTACCTTGCTTTTTTTTGTGTACGGCCGTGATGCATGGTACCTTTCTTGGGTTCGTGAGGATCCGCCGAGCAAATCGTCTGGCCAATGAACAGACGCCAGCTTCTAGCGAAATCATCCGTTCTCGTGCTGCTCTTTCGTTAAGAACAATGCAACAGATGCGTTCTTTGTTCCTTTCCCAATATCGAGCGATGCGTGTCCATGGTCACGGCGTCGCTACTTTGTCCCCGCGTCAGTGCTCACGTGGTGCGTCTCTTCTTTCTTTTTTTTTGTGGTTCTGCCGACATACCGGCGGCGTCTTCGGCTCGCGACTTGCGATGATGATCTATCTGTCAGGACGGCGAGCCGGTGTCAAAGAACGCCGAAGAGTATTTGGTTAAGGGCAAGGAGGCGCTCCAGGAGAAGACGGGCGCGGTTGAGCAGCACAAGGTGGGACGGGACGTGACTGGCGGTAGTTGGAAACCTTTGGTAGCCTACATCTGTCGTGGGAGTTAACTCTTGCCGGAAGGCGGACTTAGTCGTAGAAAGCACAAGTAGAGGAGGAGCGGTCGTGTTGCCTACCACATACCCTCGCAGCGTCATGTGTGGTGCGAGATGACGACCGAAGTACGGCAGGGGCATTGACGGGAGTGAAGTGGCAAGATCGACAGCTACTCGGGAGGGAGAGAGAGCATGCCTTATCGCCACGAAGTGTGTTTCCTTTTTTTCCCATGCACGGCTTCATCTCTGGCATGCGAACCGGTTGTATTTTATCTTCTTTTTGCCCTTTTACGCTTGGTTCGGTTTTTTTGTTCGCCACCGGTTGGCTGATTTTTCTCTTCACCAGGAGGGCCTGCTTCGGCAGAAGAACCAGCTCGACGCATACGTGGCGTGGCATCGACAGCAGGGCTTGGCGCCATCGCTAGACGAGATGATGAGCATGCCGTCCACGAACGAGCGATGGGCGGTGGAGGGGAGGACGGGTGGTCTCAAGGGAGCCCCCAAGGTTACCGTCATCCTCAACCTTTTCATGCGAGAGGTCAGTACCGTCGGAGGCGGGCGATTGGGGGGGGGGGGGGGGAAGGGTGGGTTT